GGGGGGCCCGGGGGCCACGGCCCCTGCAGCCGCAGCTTGCCACCGGTCTTGGTGAAGGGCATCCCGACGGGGGGCGGATCGGGCTTGACTGTAAAGACGAGATGGTCTTGCAGTTATCGGCGCCAGTGCTGGCGCCCAGCCCGGCCCCACGGGCACTTACTGGCCTCATCGAGGTACAGCGTGAGGTTGGGGGTCCTGTGGACGTGGTCCCCCCAGCGCGCCTCCACCCAGGCCGTGGCGTTGGTGAGGACGTAAACGTGGTGATGCTTCAGGGTGTACGTCGTCTCCCTGCCCGCCTCAAACCACCGGCACAGCCTGGGCATCTCGTAGCTGCGGGCGGGGAGAGGGGGCACAAGGTCAGGTCCAGATGGGACAGCGCTCGCCCTCTGGGCGGGCTTGGGATGCGGAGGGCACATGTCCCCGTGTGTCCCTATGTGTCCCAGTCAGGACACATCCCATGGGCTCCGCGGGACACGGCGCTCATCCCTGCCGCGGTGCCCGACTTACCAGAGCTTCAGGAGGTAGGAGGTATTGCCGTCGGGGCCGCTGGGCGGCCAGGAGCAGAGGAACCAGCGGGAGCTGCATTGCTTCCAGCAGGAGAAGCCGGGGGTGGCAGCGGTGCCTGAGGGAGAGGGCAGCGGCTGGGGGCTCCCGTACCCCAAACCCTGGCAGGTCGGGCAAGGCCGGGTGGAGCAGCGGTGTAGCCCGATCACTGTGTTGCTCGCCCAGGGGATTGGAGCAGCCGCGCTGGTGATTCTCACCCCCAAAAAAACCCCATTTCCCCCCTTCCCAGGGATGCAGTGCTGGCCGGTGCCGCTCTCCCCGGCTCCTGCCTGCCACCGGTGGGGATTCACCTGGCTTTACTCCGTCCCTGTGGTTTTGGGTAAGCGTCTCCATCACAGCGACAGCTCCCCGGGCCTTATCGGCCCCAAATCATTCATTGAAAGTTTTCTGAAGTTACCTCTCATCTCCCAGTGCCGCAGGAGCACTTACCGCCCCGCGCCAGCGCCACCAGCACCGCCAGCAGCCACCCCAGCATCAGCCACCCGGGGTGTCCCACGCCAGATCCAGCGCTCCG